TTATGGCTTTGTGAAACTTCTTTTTTGAGTTTATGCCATTGAAATAGATAAATAATAAAAAAATTAAAACATTTTGTCGGTTTTGTTTACACGTTTATTGGGCCGCATGCGGCCCACGGGTTGGACACCCCTGATCTAATGTATAATACCAAAAGACAAATTGATGTTTAGTTTTGATTTGATATTTTTCAAGACTTGTATATTAGATATTATTGCTTTCAGGTTTGTTCATTATTTGGTTTATGTTTTACATAACATTCAGATTTTATATTTGTTTATACAGTATAGTCTTATTTTATGTGAAGGTTATATATCAACAGGTATCATGCAAAACACAATTTCACATAAATTTGTGAACTACCCAAGTAGTCCCATATGATTGTCAAGACACTCAGTCATTTACAATCAACAGAAAAATGTTAAAATGTTTTATTATAATGAATAACATTTCAGTCTAGTCTTTCTGAATATACAGATCAAAATTTTATTACACCTTATCAACTATACTACTACAGAAAAATACATGCAAACCAGAATATTCACAGTATTCACTACAGTGAGTAGCATTCTCTAGTTCAGTGTTTTTCAACCTGTGGGTCGCAACCCCAAGGGGGTTGCAAAGCCATACACGGAGGTCACGGGTAAAAGAAAAAGACAAGTGTTTGTAGGTCCTACACTACAATAAAAAAAAAACCTACAATTTCAGTGAGAAGGCTGTGCCTGTTTATTTTACAGTACAATTGGTTTTTCTTATCGATATTTAAATCTCTACAGAAAGAAAAAAAGTAGTTTTTAAAATCACTGACATAGTTTTAATATGGCCATGGGGGTCGCCAGAATTTTTTAACTTGTAAAGGGGTCGTGTATTCAAGAAGGTTGAAAAACACTGCTCTAGTTCAAGGGTCCCCAGACTTTTTTGAGAGTCAATCCTTTCACGAATTTAACTTCTTATCGACCCCCTAAACTTTAATATTATAGTACATAATTATAATAGGACAAGCAAAAAAAGATGCTTATGTGACTTTTATATTTTACAGTGTTTATTATTTGTATTTCATACCATATATACAGTCAAACCTGTGTATAGCAGAAACTTGTCATTAATGGAAAATTTCTTTGGTCCCTTGAAATTTTTGTAAAAAGTAATGTAAATTAACCTGTATATAATGGAACCTGCAGAAACGGAAAGGAAAATTTGGCCATATAATGGAAAAATCAGTATCTTTATCCAATTTAACACAAAATTTAAAAAGCTAGTATACAAGCCTACTATTTATAAATCATAAAGAAGTCAAAAATACAGATACCCAATATAGAATAGTAAAATACAAATACTATATTACATAATTTTATTGGGAATATTGGAAAAGTTTTTGTGTATTTTTATTAATAGATGTTTTTACTTAAAATAAATATGTGATATAATTATAAGTTATGAAATTTAACACATTATTCCTAATGTGAGATTGCATTCTGAGATTAAGCATTTTAAGCGTTTTTTACATTACATTTCATTTGAATAAAATCAAATTGAAATTTCAGATAAAATTTACATCAAGCATATTATGCATTCTTTCTAAGTATTGTAAATGATATCATGCTATACAAACAGTAAAAAATACTCATACTGTGTACAGAGAAGATGCTTCTAAACTTCAAATGTGTCAAATGTGGTTTTGAAAGTTTCATTTGCAAAATTTTGAACTAAAGGATACAAACTGTATGGACCCCCAAAAGCTGTTGAAGAGAAATTGTGGGAAGAAATTGTTAAAGATTGATGAATAACAACTCATAAATTTGCAACAAATCTTAGTGTGCCACAGACACGTATTGTTGAAACATTACATCCAATTGAAATGGTTGTAAAACATGCTGATGATTGTGTTCCACATGCAGTTTGTTTTTTTCACTTATGATAAAAATCAACTGAATTGAATATAATTTTGTTGGATGAAGGCAGGCAGATGTAAGGTTTTATTTTATTTTTAAATTGATCACTCATTTTTATCTTAGAGAACTTTTTTATTGTATTTTATTTAACTATTTTATTGTACCACTGTATTTGATCAATGCAATTTAGATATATGTGGTACACAATGAGAAATTTATTTAATTAATCGCATTAATCAAGAGATACCTATAGTATATAGCTAAAGAGTTGTTCAGTCCCTTGGTGTTCCATTAGACAGGTTTGACTGTAATCTAATATCTTGTTTTTTCTGGTTCAATGTCACGACTTGGTGAATTTATCGACACTTAGCAAATAATTTCATCATCCACTTTTAATTCATACAGATACACATTTCGGGCTTTCACCCCTCTTCAGTCTGTTACATAGATAGGTGTATCTAATATATTTATGTCTAATTAGATGCATTATAATAAGACTTTTATTAAGTTGTGCATTGGTGGTTGCAGTTAAGGTAACTATATTTAGTTATTTATTATATTAATGATTTTTAATTAACTTTTTTCCATCAACCCTTGAGACCAAATCAACTCCTCTCAATGTCTTATCAACTCTTGGGAGTCTATATCAACCACTTTGGGGACCCCTGCTCTAGTTCATACTTGAATGTCAGAAGGTGAAGAATAATCTGCTGACTTAAGTCAGTTTCACTGGCACCAGGAATGGGTTAATTAATAAGATCACAATATAATAAAATATTTCATAAAGATTGAATGAAATTTGCATTATTTTCTTTGTTTTTTTTTATGATGATAAAATATAAATAAAATCTGTTTTTATTTAAATAAAACACACAAACAATAATAATGTTTATGAGTTTCAAATAAGTTTTAATTGCTGAATGTTTTTGTAGTCTTCGTCCATCATTAAAGATATAACAAAATATATGGAATTTTTATTTTTGTATAAATTTCTGCTTTTAATTATTAATGTAATAAAATTTAATTCAAAATCATCTTGTAAAAATTATTGCAAATATTTTAATGGAAAAGTTATGTTTTATATTAGATAATAATCTGATTTGGTGTTTCTTAGAGAATATAAACATTGAATAACTAATTTCAAGTAAATTACATTATATTTCTTAAAAGTGTTACTTTGATTAAATATATTCTATGCATGAAGAAACTTTAGATTTCTGAACTAGAATATCTACTTTTTAATATTTTTATAAAACTATTTGATTCTTTGGTAGTACCTGCTATTAATAATCTACTCATTATAAGCAGTAATTTAATTATATTTAACATTATTTTTATGTCATAACAATATACAACTTATTTTTTTATTACTGTATAAATTATAATTTTAGTGAATTTTTGCATCAATTTTTGGATTGAACTTTGGTTTAAATAAATTTATTTGTTATGTGATTATAATAGCATATACTGCTTTTAACTTCAGAATTGCTGAAAATTATGACTAAATGAAATTAATTATTTGTGATAATTTCCTTATTTTAAAATTTATAATTTGTGTTTTCATTTCAGCAATTAGAATTGCAACGTCAGATAGCTGAAAATTTAGAAATTGCTAAAAATAAAGAAACACAGGTATTCTTTAAAGATATACTAATCATAATTTTATTTGTAAATTATTATTTAATTTGCCATATGAATAATGGAGTAAAACCCGTGAAATATTAATTATTATTATACTTTGGATTTTTAGATTCTAAGAATTTTATTTGCCTAAAATTGTCTCCCTTGCCTTGTTAAATATGCTCTAAAAATAACACTAGAATCTGAAAATAACTTAAAAGACAATTAATTAGAAGTCACTATAAATTTAATTAAAGTGTGAACATTAATCAAAAGAAATACAGTCATATAATACATGCTTTTCTTGAGATACAAACTTATTTTTAAAAATTAGATTATTGTTATGAACTAATTTTCAAGAGAAAATAACATTTGGATTTAAGTTACTTTTGCCCTGACAGCTGCCATAATTTTTGACAAATAGTAAAACAGTAGAAATTCAGCTTTCATTTAGGACTGTTTTTCTAAATTGGTAAATATATAATTTTTGTGATATTTTTTAACACAACTAAGTAAATTTCTAACAGAATACTGCACTACACTGCAGTAACAACTGTATGTTTAGATTTAATAGAAACTTTTAACAAAATACAGTAAAACTTGTCAATGGCGACCACGCACGGTTCCTTCAAATAATGGTCTTTTAGACAGGTGATGCTGTAATACCGTATTTCCGTACGTATTTTGCGCTCTTTTTAGCCATTTTTACTAAGCAAAACTCGAGGTGAGCAAAAATAAGCGAATTTTTTCAACGATGGAGCTATACTTGTATTTTATTCTTATCGGATAACTCGATTTACAGGAGTCGTCGTGATTTTATAATACAGATTTAATACCAACATTTTAAAGATTGATACAATAGTCGCATTTTCTCGATTATAACGCACAATTTCTTTTTTCCGACTTAATTAATTCAACTTACTTGTTAGTTCTTTTCGTTCGCTCCTCAATTACGTGTAAAGTAATACCCCGAACTTACGCGATAGGTGGGACCGAGCGATAACCGCGTAAGTCGAATTCGCGTAAGTCGGGGTATATTTTCGCAATTTGTGTAAAATCCAAATCTGTTGTATGTAAGCTAATAGATGTTCTCCTTAACCTTATCTCGCCTTTTGATTCGTTCACGGTTACAAGAAATCACCACATAGTCTCTCAAGTATCCGTAGATATAACAAACACAGAAATAAATAACAAAATAAATTGTAGCTATGCGTCGATTCCGTGGGCACGTCCGAACATGTAAGCTAAACAATAGTGTGGGGGGAGTGAGTAATCGAGAGTTGCGTGGCGTCCAAACAAAAGACGAATCGACGAATCGACGAGATTTGAAAATCGCGTAACTCCGAGTTCGCGTAAGTCGAGGTATTACTGTATTACGTCATCGATATACAAGTATGTCGTATCTCTACATCACTTTGGTTTTGGTATTCGTTAGTTTAATCTTATTTTAACTTTAAAAATACTGTATTTTTTTAAAATATTTTCTTTTGCAAATCTTATCTTACGAATCACACGCTTTTGTTTCCTCATTTTAAATATTCAATCTCATCATAAAATCCTGTTTGGAAGAGCCTTCTCCAAAATCCGTATCAATATTCTTTTCTTTTATACATCTTATATTTTCTGAAATTAAAAAAAATTAAAAACTTTATATTCCTGTAAAACATAACTGCTAAAAGATTAGAGAAGTTGCAGCCGACGTTTTCATCGCGAAAACATGTTCGTCAAACGTTAAGCGCCGCCTTCCTGTAAGCCTGGAAGTTTGACAATGGTGTTCGGAAAGTTAGTGGAATCATGCTCGACATTCCAAACGCCATTGTCAAACTACTAGGCTTACAGGAAGGCGGCGCTGAACGTCCAATGTACACGTTTTCGCAATGAAAACGTCGGCTGCAACCTCTCTCTTAATTATTTCTATAATTGCCTGTTACTTAACTAGATTCAAAGAAAATTTACACAGCTTATGCCGGATAGAACGAGAAATTATTTATTGCGGCATCATCACAATGGCGGGCTGCAATTTTCCACGCAATGCTTTCAATTATAGAATGATTTTTCCCTGTACCTCACACTTTCCTGTTAACAATGCAGTCATGCCGATCATCTATCTAACTCCGTTCAGGAAAAAGTTTTAAATTGAAATAACGTGACTTCTGGTCCTAACTGGAAGTTCATATATAGTTAATTGGGGCCTTCCCGCTTCCACGCTTTCCATATCTGGTCTCGAGTTTCATCTCTCTAACTCCATTCTCAAGATTAACGAAGGAAAGGTAGACAAACAGATGGATGCCAATGGATATTTATTCTACAATTTTTGAAAATTGCAGCCCAAAAATGCATTGAAAGCTATGTTATTTGAAAATACATTTAATGTTGAAAAAATTGAACTAAGCATTTTAATTAAAATGGAGATGATACCAATTTGAGGCACAAGGATAGTAAGCAAATACCCATGTCTAATGTTAGGGAGCACTGAAATGCATTATTTCAAATTATGAGAGATGTTATCTAATTTGGTTTTAGTAGCTTTTTATAGCTACTGATTATATAAAATATTTAGTATAGGCTACATTTCTATTANACAATGAAGAAAATTTATTCTACAATAATTTCTAACAAAATTTAATGGGATATTTGTTGCGATAAATCTCCAACAATTTTTTCATAATTTGGTTCCGACGTTGTTAAATAGATATTATAATTGTGTACTGACCTTGAAAGTAATGGCTGCGAATTTATAACATGCAGAACAATACATGATTCTTTCAATTTTTGTAACATAACATATAAATTTGCTAAATATTAAGTAATACGCGTATGCAGTGACACGTATTACATGGCGGGGATACGATCCAGGCCTGGTTATTCCTAATTCCTAAGTCCAGTAAAAACACGAAAAGCCCCAACCTTATCGATTAATACTCGGTTAAACCATAATTTTACTAGACTACAGGTTCACTCGGCACTAACGGCACAAATAGACAGGCAAATCAAGTGGATAAACAAGTTGTTTAGGCTGTTAAAAAGGAAATCGGTGTTCACACTGGGATATTTTAAAGCAAGTTTTTGTCGTTTCTTGTTTCTTCTGTTAATAATTTACAGCAAATTGATTAACATACGCCATTTTATAATAAAAGTTAGATGTACCCCTTTGATTTACAACCCGGTTGAGAACCACTGGTTTAGACCATATATATTCGCGGAAGTGGTCGTTTATTACAGTTGTATGTTGTTTCGGACCAAAAATCGATGCCCGCGGTCGCGTTACACAGGTGGTCGTTTAATACAGGTAACTTATACGAAGACTCTATGGATAAACTGTTTGGTGCCAGAAATTTTTGCCCGTTTTGACAGGCGCCCGTCGAATGCAGGTGGTCGCCTAAGCAGTTTTCACTGTATTTCTGAAAATAAGAATTTGTTTTGGCTTGCAATTTTCATACTTTTACAAAAGTAAACAAACACTCATATCATTAATTTTTATCAGTTTAATAAAAACTAATATTAGTCTATCAGTACAATCCTAGAGAATAATCAAAAATAGCAGGAAAGTACAATGGATTCTGGGGATTTTTCAAAAGTAATCAAAATAACAAAAATAAGTTTTAAAGATGAAGTAGACACTTTTAAGCATTATAAAAGTACTGTACTATTTTCAGGAATAACTATTCATGAAATATGCCTATATAACTTTGTTTGGGAATACCTTGTCAGGAAAAATTTTTTACTTAAAATCCAAGGTTATTATAAATGTTATTCATTTAAAAATTAATATTTTATTAAATAGTAGTATATCTGTGGGAAATTGAACTAGTTTGTAAATGGTGTATTTTGTTGAACGTTATACAATTTTTTAAATAATTAGTTTTCTGAAATTATTTGCTTTATTCTAACCATAATATATTTTATTTGAATAACAGTTTACTTGAATACTTTTGGACTTTTATGAGAAGTCCTTTTTTTAGTTAAAGTATTTTGAATTAAAATACATCAAAATGCTTTTGTGAGCAGCCAGGGGCTATAGGGCCCCCTATAGCCCTCTATACCATTTACTCAGCATGGGTTGCTTAAACCCAATCTCTATGTCTAGGATGGCTAAGAATGACTGATGACTGAGATCAAGATTGTAAAATTTTAAAAACTCGTTCATTTTTTATTAACTAATCAAACATTTATTTCAAATAAAGTAACAAACATAAGAAAAAGTTATCAAGTATTCAATAAATGTTCGAATTGAACACCACATCTCTGTCGATTCATTTCTTAATGGACGTTCACATCCGGGGTCGTGTCTTTTGTTAGCCACAGAACCCGTTAACTGAAAACTTTTGAACCAACTCCAGAACGTATTTTGCATTACAATATTTGTTGGATAGAGTTGATTAAATAAATTTGCAGTAATATAAGCATCCTCGTGATTTCTGAAATGAAGAGTTACTATTTCTACCCTTTCAGCAATTGTGTAAACCATAACGATTATGTTGTACAAAATTCATAATAAACAAACAATAATCTTAAATTCTGATTCAATCATTAAGTGGTCAAACTTAATGTGAACACTACAAAAAAGAACATCTGGAAATAGATAACACATTATCAGCCTTAATTTTATGATCTATTCTTTCCTTGCATATGCGGTCCAGCTTAAAAGTTTTTTTTATGTTTGTTAATAGTTTGTGTTACTTTTTTCCGAAATAAATGTTTCTTTAGTTAATAAAAAATGAATGAGTTTTTAAAATTTTTTGTTATCTATTGTATTCAGAATAGCAAAAACTTTATTGCTGAAGATATCCCCCTTGAGAATAAAATCGACCTGTCCGAGCGATTTGCTTGGACTAACACGATAACTCTGCCGTTTCGTTTTTGTTGGACCACCCTGTATGTGCATTTGTGAACTGTTATTTACGATATTTGTAATAATTTTTGTTTAATCACTTTATTTCTACTTTTTTTTGCTAATTATGTATTCGCTCAAATTTTGTTAAAACCTTAACTGTATCCCGAACAACAACCGAAGTTGTAGGAGGAAATTTGCCTATTTTATCGATCTAGGGATCCCCTTTTCCAACTTTTAATATCATCTCAAAATAATTTTAAAAGACAAATTACAATAAAACGGTTTATTATCCAACTATCAGAAATTTCACAACATGCCAAGGAAGAGAGGAAGGAGCAATTAAATATTTAAAATTATAAAGGATTAAAAAATATATATATATAAAAATGAGGAATATCGCACTTCTGACAATCGCTGCGAGTGTATGGGCTAAATTTGGAGAATCCATGCTTCTCGCATGAATATGGCCGGCTCACGCGTCGGAAAACCTGATTTATTCGTGTACGTACCATACGGAAAAAAGCACTCCAATAAATAAATAGAATTGAAACGACACTTTGAAATGTTTTCCCAATGAAAATGAATAATAATAAGTTTCAATAAAAATGATAAAATGTAAATTGAATTTTATCATAACGAGTTTGCTCGAATTTCCTTTCTTCTGAGATCGCAGCAATGCGCGACGGGTAAGCTAGTATAAAATAAAATAAAAGAAGTTTACAAACAGACTGTTCCAAACTTAAATCTACCTTAACTATCCTGTCCCTAGTATGAGAGATATGAGAGAGAGTTTACAAATCTAATATATTACCTCATTTATAATGTGATTGATAACAATTCTGTACTTTGGACAAAAGTTCAATCCAAAGAAGTGTGACACAAATTTTACATTATGGAGGATACAATGATGTTTGCAGATTTTGGCACGTATCCCTCTTTTATACTTCTTTTCTCCTCCAATGAAGATTAACCATTCAGCAGTGACTGATGGATATATCCGTCAAGGGTGATTGTGTGGCACTGGTGATAGACGGCTATATCCGCAAAATTCTTTTGCGGATATCGCTAAAAACTGTGAAAAAAATTCACATAAAAATAGAGTTATGTAACAATAAAAAAAGACTTTTCTTTACTAGACATAACTGTTTACAAAATCATTTTCCAAAATGGTAATGAGAAAAAAACACATGGGAAAATATTTTAAAAATTTCTCATGTTTATTCTCCACTACATAGGGATAGCACCATACCTGAGTAACCCACTGCTGAAAGGTTAAGAATTAAGATCATCTGACTGGGTGTCATGATGAGTCTTTTTGGTTTAGTTGGTCCTTTAGTCATGGGAGACAAAGATCTCTCAGGAACTGACTGTCATCTCCCATTTCTAAAGGGCTGACTAAACCAAAAAGACTCATCATGACATCATTCTTCATCATCATTCTTCTGAGGAGAAAAGAAGTATAAAAGAGGGATACGTGCCAAAATCCGTGCACATCATCTAGTATCCTCGTATGTTGAATTAGTTTCATACTATTTGAATTGAACTTCCACCCAAAGGACAGAAGGGTTACAAGCCAAGAATAATATGGAGGTATTATAATCAGTATTTTGTAAACTCTCTCTCTACCTCACATTTAGAGACATAGTCTTTAAGGTTTAATCATAGCTAGATTCTAGTCAGTTAGTTCATTTGTATTCTTGTTGTTTATTCATTAAAGTATTTGTTATTTTGTTAATTGGACTTGACTCTAGTTCTCTCAACAGACTCCTATTGCTTCCCACCTTTTCCT